CCCACAGACGGCGCCAGTGTTGAGGTTAATTCCTTCAACCCCCCGGGTCCAACACGTAAGCCCAAGGATTTCGAGTGGAGTGAGTGTGAGTGACTAGCCCAACTAGCAAGTAATGACAATCAAGGAGAACAATAAGGTAGCAAGTAAGTGATTATGTATTATTATCTCTTAATAACTCCCTAATACAATACTATTTGCTAAGGCTCCGTCGGCCGTTCGTCTTACAAGGCAGTAGAAGTGCTGCGAGTAAGAATACTATAGCCAGAATGCTAAGAATAGAAAGTTGCCAACCCTTTACAATGAAATAAATGCTTCTATTTATACCCACCAATGGGCAGGTGGCCACACTGACGTGGAAGCCTGTGGTCCGCTGGTGTCTCAACCACCAAATCTTCAGCATTAAATGCACTTCCCGCCAGAATCTAGGTTTCCCGCCTAATTAGTGGGGACGTTCGCCCGCCAGGGGAGTGAGCTGGATTGCTCCAGGTGGCCTCCAAGGGATATCGGTCGTTCGTCCCCTGGCCCTTTGGGCTGGATTGCCCCCAATGACTATGGCTTGCTCTGGCGACGCTCGTCGCCATTCAGGTGGCCCGTGGTCCTGCTCCTTGTCCCTGAACAGACGTTCGTCGATATGGCTGTCGAGCCTGAAGCCCATCTGAAGATGTTCGTCCATCTTGGAGGAGATGGGCTCGCCAAGCTATCTCAAGGATCTATCTGGACGTACGTCCGGAAGAGAGGGTAAATGGGCCGGTCCCCAGCCTGGGCCATTAACCCAACAGAGACTGAGTGCAAACTTAATCTCTTAATTAAGGAAAGAGACAAACTGGAAGCTGAAAATGAGTCTCTTCTAAAAAGAATAAGAGAAATTGAGAATATTGAAATCAGATATGATAGTCTTTTGAAGATGCAATCTTCAATAAAGAGTATTGATGATACTCATAATCTCACCTCTGGTCTTGGATATGTTGAACCAAAGTCTGGTGAGCCTTTTGTAAGGCCTAGCACCCAAGTTGTTAAAGCCAAAGAGGTTATGGTGTCACAGACTTGTAGCCCCAACTGTCATGCTAGTACTTCTGGTACTAAAGTTATTCATGAGAAAGTCCCACCAGAAAACAAAAAGCTAAAGACCAAACCAAAACAAATTTTGAAAATTAATGAACCAGGCAGAAGATCTAACCAAAAGAAAGATTTTCAAAACAATAACAATCAAAGGCAAACCCACATCAGACACTCTCATGATAACGGTATCAGAAACTGGTATCAGAAAGACAGATATCAAGAGAAAGTTAACCATAGGCGAAAGAGGTTGACTGGTCAACCTCAGAAGCCCAAGGTTAAACGCCTCTCTGCTCTAGATAGCATATGGGACTTCTTTCCAACTAAGAAGGCTATGCAGAAATATGCTAACAGAAAGCATGAGCCTCACAAGCATCTGCCCAAAGTGAATCATACTGCTGTTTACCATGACTACCAGGTGGACAATGGGTACCATCCACCAAGGTTTCACTTGATGAGACCAAAATGGTACCAACTACCAAGACTCCATTACCCCCCAGGACCCAACACTGCTTGGGTACCTAAATCTTCCTTTTAATTTTGTAGGAACTGTGTGCTGGAGCCATCTCAGAGCAAGAATGGTTTATTGATAGTGGATGCTCCAGGCACATGACAGGTGACAAGAGTTGCCTATCAGAGTTCCAGAGATACAATGGACCTAGAGTTACATTTGGTGGAAATGACAAAGAAGGTCAAACAAAAGGAAGAGGGAAGCTGATCAAGAACCAGATAAGCATTGATGATGTCTCATATGTCAAAGGTCTGAAATTGAACCTGCTGAGTGCTAGCCAATTCTGTGACAAAGGCTACACAGTTGAATTCACCAAGACCCTATGCTATGTCAAGCATGAGACAACCAAGGAAGTGGTTCTTACAGCCAAGAGAAGAAAGAACATCTATGTTGTTGACTGGCAAACTGCAAAAGATGGTACTTGCCTGATAGCTAAAGACAATTCAAAACTAAGCTGGGATTGGCACAAGAAGCTTAGCCACCTGAATTTCAAAACCATCAACAAACTGGCAAGGGAACACATTGTAGATGGTCTGCCAGACATTATTTACAAGAAGGAGACCCTCTGCAGTGCTTGTCAGAAAGGCAAACAAGTGAAGACCTCATTCAAGCCCATAACTGGAGATCTATCCACTTGTCCTCTAAATCTGATTCATATGGATTTATTTGGACCAGTTGAGACTCCCAGTGTTGGTGGGAAGAGATATACACTAGTCATGGTGGATGACTATTCAAGATACACATGGACTGTGTTCTTAACAAAGAAAAATGAAACTCTTCAGAAGTTGCCATCTCTGTTAAAGCAACTTCAGACTGAGAAGAACATGAAGGTCAGGACAATCAGATCTGACAGAGGAACTGAATTTGTCAACAAAGTGATCAAGGACTTATGTGATCAGAATGGAACTTTTCATCAAATTTCTGCTGCCAGAACGCCTCAACAAAATGGTGTTGCAGAAAGGAGGAATAGAACACTGAAGGAAGCTGGAAGGACTATGATTGCTGAATCAGGGTTGCCCATCAGATACTGGGCTGAAGCAATCAACACTGCATGCTACACCCAGAACAGAAGCATGATCCACAAGAAGCATTAGAAGACCTCCTATGAACTGTGGAAAGGAAGGAAACCCAACATCAGCTACTTTCATGTTTTTGGATGCAAGTGCTACATCCTTAACAATGGAAAGGAACATCTAAAGGTCTTTCAAGAGAAAGCTGATGAAGGTGTGTTTATAGGCTACTCTAGCACAAGCAAAGCCTATAGAGTTCTGAATAAGAGAACCTTACAAGTTGAAGAATCCATTCATGTCAAGTTCGATGATAACACCACTGCTGAAGAAATAACTGAAACCCTGGAGAAAACCAACATAGAAGACAAGATTTCAGAGCCATCAGAAGAAGTCACAGTTAACCCTGTGTTCTCAACCCCTGCTGCTAATCCACTTCTGATAGACAAAGACGGAGATGAAGATGAAGAATCAGAAGATGAACTACCAGAGTTGCCCAGACAACAATTGTCTGAACCTGATCTAACCTGGTTGAGAGATCATCCTCCTAATCAAGTGATTGGACAAATTTCTAAAGGTGTTCAAACCAGATCATCATCCAGGAGAGAAGCCATGTTCACCTGCTGCATATCCCAGATGGAACCAATGAGTGTAGAAGAAGCTCTTGAAGACTCAGATTGGATCAATGCAATGCAAGAAGAGCTTACACAGTTTGAAAGGAATCAAGTATGGGAACTTGTTCCTAGACCAAAGCATCAGAATGTCATTGGAACCAAGTGGGTATTCAAGAACAAAGCAGATGAAGAAGGCAACATTGTAAGGAATAAAGCAAGGCTAGTGGCAAAAGGATACTGTCAAGAGGAAGGCATAGATTTTGATGAGACCTTTGCACCTGTTGCAAGACTGGAAGCAATCAGAATCTTTCTAGCCTATGCTGCCTACAACGACATCAAAGTCTACCAGATGGATGTTAAGAGTGCATTTCTGAATGGAGAACTTGAAGAGGAAGTTTATGTTGAACAACCTCCAGGTTTTGTCATTCATACTCAATCTTCTTGTGTCTACAAGCTTAGGAAGGCCCTTTATGGTCTTAAGCAAGCTCCCAGAGCTTGGTATGACACATTGTCCCTATTCTTAGTGATTCATGGGTTTACTAAAGGAAAGGTTGACAAGACTTTATTTCAGATTTCAGTTGCTAATCATATTCTGTTAGTGCAAATTTATGTTGATGATATTATATTTGGAAGCACTAATCCTGAATTATGCAAGAAGTTTTCTCAAGTTATGCAGAAAAAGTTTGAGATGAGTATGATGGGAGAACTAAGCTACTTCCTTGGATTGCAAGTCAAACAAGTTCCTGAAGGAATCTTCATCAATCAAGGGAAGTACACCAGAGATCTAATCAAGAAGTTTGGAATTGATGGGAAATCCTCAGTCAAGATTCCCATGAATGCCTCTCAAGGAATTGGACCAGATGATGAAGGAAAGGATGTTGATGCAACAACATATAGAGGAATCATTGGATCTCTTCTCTACCTAACTGCAAGTAGACCAGACATAGCATTTGTTGTGGGAATCTGCGCGCCAGATACCAATCAAAGCCCAAGGAGAGCCATTTGGTTGCTGCCAAGAAGATCATCAGATATATCAAAGGAAATCCAAATGCAGGCCTATGGTACCCCAAGGGAGGTAACTTTGAACTAATTGGTTACTCTGACTCAGATTTTGCTGGTTGCAGGTTAGACAGGAAGAGCACCTCTGGTCACTGCCAACTGCTAGTGTGACACTCCATAAATTTAATAAAATAAAATTTAATATTAACTAAGATGTGGTATTCATTTGTGGATAAAATTCTCTTTAATTTATGTTTCGGGGACGAAACATCTTTTAAGGAGGGTAGAATGTGACACTCAAAAAAAAAACTAAATAATTTTATAAGTCTGATAAAATGAAGCAGATAAAATTATAACATTGGTGACATTTTTAGCCAGGTAAAAATGTTTATAACAAGTAATAATTATACATACAAAATAGGACATAAATAAATAAAAGTGCCCTTTTAACAAACTTTGATAATATATGCAACCATTATATTATTGTGACCTTTTGGGACCAAGTAACATAATAAATATTTTATGGGAGGCCTTATAATGCTACCTAGAATGATTAAGTCCGATTGACTATTCTATAAAGAACATACCCATATGCAAATTGACATGCCCACATGAAGTTGGCCGAACAACCCCATATGTAATGACCATAATAATAGACCTCCAATCACATACATATCAATAATATACAAGTACATAATGATAATATATCCAAGAATGACATACATCATACTACATACATGGGTACCATAGCTCCGTGCGAGACTAACGACCGGCATACCCACATGCAACGAAGCAATCTTCAGCAACTTGCAAGCTAGAGCTTCGGATCGGGCTTATAAATACACGAGCTGCCTACTAAACATCTCCACACCTCAAGCAACGCCTATGCTTAGTCATACTCTCGTATAGTCATATATATATACATATATACTCATCATACTACGCTGCGGCAAATTTATTTACCCAAAAACAAGAGCTTACACGCTTCTAAAAACCTTCCCCATCGTGAGGGGAATCCAACGGAGAAAGAATCGTTGAAAACGGTCGTGAAACGAGGTAGAAAAGCTTCACCGGAGTTCTGCGGGAGCTATTGCCGAACTGGGTCTTCGCATCAGAGGAAGAGAGTTGCCGCCGCCACTGATTGACCGTCTCCATCTTCGAACGACTCCCCTACCGTTGCCCTTCCAACCGTCCGTCGTCTCCAAGGTAAGCCATCCCGTTGACCGTTTTTCAATTGTTTCCGGCGTTTCCTGTGTTCGAACAACGAAGAAGACGGTCTGTTGCATGCTATATTATTATCAAACTCAGGCTAAGTGAATTATTACACTATTGGACTAGTTGTTAAACATTAATATAATACGGAGGGGATGAGAGTAATCCTAGAAATACACCATAACCAGAATAATGAATAATACTCCATAATAAATAATACTAATCATAGGCAAAGCTAATACTACGTAATATTTTGAGATAGCAATATTGAAAGATGGAATTAAATTGATTAGTTGATAATAATTATTTGGATAAACTTGTCATTTTTTAGTCGGGGAAACTACATAATAATGGATCAATTAACTTGTTAAAAATAATACACGAATTAAACAATATTTTAAGATATATGACTATTTTAGAACTGTTGAATTAATAATTTCTGGCTGTTTATAAAATTAATTACTAAGTAACGTTATTCGGAGATATTTATAAGTATTCTGAATGTTTAACATTTATGATTCGGATATTTTACAAGAGAAGATTAATTTAATGGCTGTTTTAGTATTAAGATATAATGAAAATAATTCGGGCATTTTAATATTTTGAGTATAAATTAATTCGGATATTGGATTTGGTTAAACTAAAGTACCAAGTTAAAAAAAAAATGAATAGATAAGATGAGAACTTAGATTACGAAATAAAGTAAGCTTAATAAAAGCGATTAACTAATAATTAATAGATAACCTAAATTCGAATAATAAAAGAGAAAAATCGGGTAAATTATTACAAATAGAATAAGTGACTGATTATGTCATCTTAATTAAAAAGGTGATTATTTAGAGACCCGAGTAGAGGAGGAGAATTAGGAGCGTCAGGACCTACTGTAAGTTTCTCTGCCGATCCAAAATGATTTCCTCGTATTATATGCTTATTATGCATTTTGTGATAAAGAGTGAATTTTGAATTATGTGTATGTGATTTTGAGGAGATATTAGATTTATGGTATGTTTGAAGTGCAAACGAAGTTCTTTTGGGTATTAAATATTTTTAGATACTTTTGAGACTATTTAGAGAGATTGAGAAATATTTTTGAAGTATACTTAATTCAAGATAAAATTAAGGATTTCATAAGAGGTGAGCACCCGGGAGAAATCCGTGGTGTCGGTTTTCCACATCCGGATAAATGTGGAGGGTGATTAAGGCTGCTACTACTAAGAAGTACAGTTTGAGTTTGAAGTGACGTTTGGATCTATGATCCCTTTTAAGAAGAAGTTATAGTAGTAGTAGTCCCTAATCATTCAAGAATTTTAAAGGTGGGGTAGTTGGTAGACTGAGTCCCGATTACTCGTGACGACTTACTACTCGGAGGGCTTGGAATCCCTTTTAGGGGGTGTGCACACTTAAGGTAGTCGTTTCGTTTCCATTAGCAGTCGTGGTACCGGCAAAAGTCCCGGGGTGGCCGTACATAACAACGTAACCACCGGGCTCAACCAGAGTGTTGAGCACCGCCCTTCTAAATTACTAGGAAGATATAGAAGAAGTGAATTTTGAGGAATTATAAGAGAAGAGTTACTATAGTATTTTCAAAGAAAAGTTGAGGACTTTATTAAAGAAGTGATCTTGAGAAATATCAAAGAGAAAAGAATTTTGGTGGAGTGTGTCATTTTTATATAGTATTATATGAAAAACTATTTTTCGCCAAACCTGATTATTTTACGGGGTTGGGTAGTACTTACTTAGCTCTAAAGCTAATTTTTGTTTCCTTTTCCCTGTTTTGTTTTCTGCACTTTATTTGTGCAGGTGATGATGCTTATGTGGACTGATGATTGTATGACCACGAGAGCGGTTTAGAAATGCCTTAGTCAAACCTAGTCAAGAATTATAATTCAATTATGTTGAACACTTGTTTTACTCTATTTTGTTTTGGAATAGCCTGTGCATTCGGTTAAGAGATGACCGGATGTGGCGGTAACACCCATTTCCCAATTAATGTTATTTCCGCTGCAAAACTTTTTATCTGTTTTGAAAGAATAAATCAAGTTTATTATCAATAAATCTATTATTTCAAGTATTATTTTGGGAGGGAAAATGGGGGTGTTACAAATTGGTATCAGAGCCTTTTCTTTTTTAAAATGGGGTTTTCAAACATTTTCTAAAGATTATCTTAAACTCTCTTTATTTTAGTGATACCAACAAATTGGTATCAGAGTAATGATTTTCGTGGGTCATTTTTCAAAGTGTTTTTCCAAAAAGTATTTCTAAACAAATTTTTCAAAGGTTTTCTAATGTTTCTTAAATTTCATTAAGTAATACCAAGGAATTGGTATTAGATATTACGATCTTCAAATTGAGGATTTTCAAATAAAATTTCCTTCGACTATGATTTTCAAAAAGGTTTTCTTTTTAAAACGTATTGTCCCAAGAAATTTTCTAAAATGTTCTCTTTATATAAAAATAAAAAAATAAAAATTATCGGTTTTGTAAATGCTCCTCAACAAAAAGAAGCTTAGGAATAATAAAACTTATTAAGAAAGAAAAAGTGTAGGATACGGGTGAGGTTGTGAGATTTGAATTGTTTTTATTCCATGGAATTTTGTGAATTATTATAAGTACCTCAAATAGGCTTACGTGCATATTGCACGTATGTGTTTGACTATGAAGAATACCGCATAGGAATGTCCTAATAGAATGATAGAATAATGTTTCGGGGACGAAACATTCTTTTAAGGAGGGTAGAATGTGACACTCCATAAATTTAATAAAATAAAATTTAATATTAACTAAGATGTGGTATTCATTTGTGGATAAAATTCTCTTTAATTTATGTTTCGGGGACGAAACATCTTTTAAGGAGGGTAGAATGTGACACTCAAAAAAAAACTAAATAATTTTATAAGTCTGATAAAATGAAGCAGATAAAATTATAACATTGGTGACATTTTTAGCCAGGTAAAAATGTTTATAACAAGTAATAATTATACATACAAAATAGGACATAAATAAATAAAAGTGCCCTTTTAACAAACTTTGATAATATATGCAACCATTATATTATTGTGACCTTTTGGGACCAAGTAACATAATAAATATTTTATGGGAGGCCTTATAATGCTACCTAGAATGATTAAGTCCGATTGACTATTCTATAAAGAACATACCCATATGCAAATTGACATGCCCACATGAAGTTGGCCGAACAAACCCATATGTAATGACCATAATAATAGACCTCCAATCACATACATATCAATAATATACAAGTACATAATGATAATATATCCAAGAATGACATACATCATACTACATACATGGGTACCATAGCTCCGTGCGAGACTAACGACCGGCATACCCACATGCAACGAAGCAATCTTCAGCAACTTGCAAGCTAGAGCTTCGGATCGGGCTTATAAATACACGAGCTGCCTACTAAACATCTCCACACCTCAAGCAACGCCTATGCTTAGTCATACTCTCGTATAGTCATATATATATACATATATACTCATCATACTACGCTGCGGCAAATTTATTTACCCAAAAACAAGAGCTTACACGCTTCTAAAAACCTTCCCCATCGTGAGGGGAATCCAACGGAGAAAGAATCGTTGAAAACGGTCGTGAAACGAGGTAGAAAAGCTTCACCGGAGTTCTGCGGGAGCTATTGCCGAACTGGGTCTTCGCATCAGAGGAAGAGAGTTGCCGCCGCCACTGATTGACCGTCTCCATCTTCGAACGACTCCCCTACCGTTGCCCTTCCAACCGTCCGTCGTCTCCAAGGTAAGCCATCCCGTTGACCGTTTTTCAATTGTTTCCGGCGTTTCCTGTGTTCGAACAACGAAGAAGACGGTCTGTTGCATGCTATATTATTATCAAACTCAGGCTAAGTGAATTATTACACTATTGGACTAGTTGTTAAACATTAATATAATACGGAGGGGATGAGAGTAATCCTAGAAATACACCATAACCAGAATAATGAATAATACTCCATAATAAATAATACTAATCATAGGCAAAGCTAATACTACGTAATATTTTGAGATAGCAATATTGAAAGATGGAATTAAATTGATTAGTTGATAATAATTATTTGGATAAACTTGTCATTTTTTAGTCGGGGAAACTACATAATAATGGATCAATTAACTTGTTAAAAATAATACACGAATTAAACAATATTTTAAGATATATGACTATTTTAGAACTGTTGAATTAATAATTTCTGGCTGTTTATAAAATTAATTACTAAGTAACGTTATTCGGAGATATTTATAAGTATTCTGAATGTTTAACATTTATGATTCGGATATTTTACAAGAGAAGATTAATTTAATGGCTGTTTTAGTATTAAGATATAATGAAAATAATTCGGGCATTTTAATATTTTGAGTATAAATTAATTCGGATATTGGATTTGGTTAAACTAAAGTACCAAGTTAAAAAAAAAATGAATAGATAAGATGAGAACTTAGATTACGAAATAAAGTAAGCTTAATAAAAGCGATTAACTAATAATTAATAGATAACCTAAATTCGAATAATAAAAGAGAAAAATCGGGTAAATTATTACAAATAGAATAAGTGACTGATTATGTCATCTTAATTAAAAAGGTGATTATTTAGAGACCCGAGTAGAGGAGGAGAATTAGGAGCGTCAGGACCTACTGTAAGTTTCTCTGCCGATCCAAAATGATTTCCTCGTATTATATGCTTATTATGCATTTTGTGATAAAGAGTGAATTTTGAATTATGTGTATGTGATTTTGAGGAGATATTAGATTTATGGTATGTTTGAAGTGCAAACGAAGTTCTTTTGGGTATTAAATATTTTTAGATACTTTTGAGACTATTTAGAGAGATTGAGAAATATTTTTGAAGTATACTTAATTCAAGATAAAATTAAGGATTTCATAAGAGGTGAGCACCCGGGAGAAATCCGTGGTGTCGGTTTTCCACATCCGGATAAATGTGGAGGGTGATTAAGGCTGCTACTACTAAGAAGTACAGTTTGAGTTTGAAGTGACGTTTGGATCTATGATCCCTTTTAAGAAGAAGTTATAGTAGTAGTAGTCCCTAATCATTCAAGAATTTTAAAGGTGGGGTAGTTGGTAGACTGAGTCCCGATTACTCGTGACGACTTACTACTCGGAGGGCTTGGAATCCCTTTTAGGGGGTGTGCACACTTAAGGTAGTCGTTTCGTTTCCATTAGCAGTCGTGGTACCGGCAAAAGTCCCGGGGTGGCCGTACATAACAACGTAACCACCGGGCTCAACCAGAGTGTTGAGCACCGCCCTTCTAAATTACTAGGAAGATATAGAAGAAGTGAATTTTGAGGAATTATAAGAGAAGAGTTACTATAGTATTTTCAAAGAAAAGTTGAGGACTTTATTAAAGAAGTGATCTTGAGAAATATCAAAGAGAAAAGAATTTTGGTGGAGTGTGTCATTTTTATATAGTATTATATGAAAAACTATTTTTCGCCAAACCTGATTATTTTACGGGGTTGGGTAGTACTTACTTAGCTCTAAAGCTAATTTTTGTTTCCTTTTCCCTGTTTTGTTTTCTGCACTTTATTTGTGCAGGTGATGATGCTTATGTGGACTGATGATTGTATGACCACGAGAGCGGTTTAGAAATGCCTTAGTCAAACCTAGTCAAGAATTATAATTCAATTATGTTGAACACTTGTTTTACTCTATTTTGTTTTGGAATAGCCTGTGCATTCGGTTAAGAGATGACCGGATGTGGCGGTAACACCCATTTCCCAATTAATGTTATTTTCGCTGCAAAACTTTTTATCTGTTTTGAAAGAATAAATCAAGTTTATTATCAATAAATCTATTATTTCAAGTATTATTTTGGGAGGGAAAATGGGGGTGTTACAGCTAGGCGGGAGACTTGTCTCCTGGTTTAGCAAGAAGCAAAATTCCATCTCAACTAGCACTGCTGAAGCTGAATACATTGCTGCTGGAAGCTGCTGTGCTCAATTACTCTGGATGAAGCAACAACTCAAGGATTATGGTGTTCAAACAAAGGAGATCAAGCTGCTCTGTGACAATACCAGTGCTATTGCCATCACTCAGAATCCAGTGCTACATTCCAGGACAAAACACATTGAGATCAGACATCACTTCATCAGAGATCATGTGGAGAAGAAGCATATATCAATTGAGCATGTTCCAACTGAAGACCAGCTTGCAGATATCCTAACCAAACCTCTCTCTGAGGCAAGGTTCAACAAGCTAAGAGAAGAGCTGGGAATGATGGATGATCTTCCCAGAGATGCGTGAATCAGAGTTGCTGAAGGATCAGAGTTGGTATCCATCAGAGGACCTCGTATCAGAATACCCCATCCTCTGATACATGGGTGACTATTCATCAGAGTGGCTGTGGACTTAGAAAATTTTCTGAAATTTGGGCGAACTCATTTAAATGGATCGGAAGTTACTATTCTACCCCCGATAGTTATTTCCATAAGTGGAAACGCCTTTCCGCACACAATCCATTAAATGCGACCTCGAAACCCCAAATTATACCAAACGTCCACTAACCCAAATCACTTTATACCCCATTTCATAACCTAAACCTCCATTGCATTTCATCTCTCTTCGCATTACTTTCAAGCTTTCAGAACTCTCAAACCCTCAAATCTCTGAAACTCTATTTTTTCTCTCACAAAAATGAAGTTCATCAACATCGCAGATCTTTCTGAGGCCGATGCTAAAGCTCTCGTGGCTAACATAGTCACCGGAATGAAGGTTGACATGTCCTCGTTGCCATTGTTGGCCGAGAACAAGAAAATCATGAAGAAGGTTATTGAGGGGATGCATGATTCCCAGCTGAGCAAGATAGTGGCTCATCCTTATGAGCATTTCAGTAACCTTGATGTGGCTGAGTTCTATCTCAATGCCACCATCACCAACAACACCATATTTTCTCAAGTTCAGGGCAAAGAACTGAAGATTGACGCTGACGCTCTCAACGAGTTCTTCGGGATCAAGCTTGATTCTCAGGACATAGACACTCCCACTCTGATCGATCTTGAAAGTGTGGAGGTTTCTGTCGAAACTTTTGTGGACACCTACTGCCGGCCAGATGCAATCGGAGTAGATAAACTATACATGAAGAAGAACCAACTGAAGAAGGACTATGAGAGGTTGATGAGCATCATGCACATGTGCTTGTGGTGCAAAACTAGTTCTACTGATCAAATGAACAACGCCAATGCCAAGGCTATCTACGCTGTTCACCGAGGGATGAACATCAACTGGGGTAGAATCTTATTCAAGTCTATCTCTGAATCTGTGGAGAAGAAGGATCACAACAATTTAAAAACAAGCTAAACATAAATACCCAACCCAAAGTATAATAAAAACCCCTCCCAAACTAAACTTTAACCCTCAGACACATCTTCATAGTTCCGCTCGAGTTTGAGATCTAGTTCTCATAAGATGTGATCGTTGATTCCTCTTCTTGTACATTCTTTTTTGGGTGTTTAAATTCTGAGTAGGCAGGCAATTATCTGGCGTAACCAATAGAGCTTTTTGACAAATAATCTCATTTGTATCTGAGTCCCAAAGATCCTCCATCGTTGAAAATGGAACCCTTTTTTCGTTTTCTGAGACATGACCAAGAAATTCATCACCCGAGATTATGGAATCCGGACCACCATAAAATTCATCACAGTCAAAAACATCAGAAAGGTTGCCTCTAGAAACCCCACCTAGATGAGCATGACCGCTTCTAATACCGCCACCTGAGTTTTCTTTTTGTTCTGTAGCATTCTCTATTTCAGAAGTTTTTCCATCATTACAGGATCCCATAGTCAAATTTCCCAAAGTAGAAGTAAGAAGTCTCTCAAATTCACAAAGCAAGTAATGTGAAAGTGAGTCCACCCCATTTGTCAAAGTGTCATGAAAAAAATTCTTGAGTTGTACAAATTCATCAGAGGTTTGCTCAGGTTCAATAATCATCAACGGGTTTTGGACATCTTCAATAGTAACCAAATCCAAAGAGCGATTTTCAAAACGGTCAATATCAACTTGAAGTAAAGCTCCTGAAATGGACAACTCAGTGTCCCAAGAATGAGGATAATCTCCATCAAAAGGTAGAAAGTCCAAATTCATACTCCTCGTATCCAAAACAACCTCACCCGTATCTTGTTCAATTGCTATATTTGAAGCAATTGAATTCATCAAGGTAATTGCTTTTGTTAACCCAGAAAGAAAAAGATTAATCCCATGTCCATTCCATCCCTCCGGAATAAAAAGTGAATCATATCCCCTCTCAATTATTCTGACAAATCCTCCAAAATAATTTGCATCATAAAATATAGTAAGGGATTTATGCAACTCCATCCTAGTACAAAATCTATTACCCGAAAAGATCTTGTGTATGGAGTCCTTCAACCATTTAACCCTAGCAAGATCAAGATTTATAGCAGAAGAAATTCCATTTTTCGATTCAGAAACGTGAACAGCATTGCAATCAATGATTTCAAAATGAAAACTTTTGCTTTCAATAAAAATATCAAACCCATTTTCCTCCTGTCGAATCATATTGTCTCTTGCCATTGCCCCCACATGCTTTGTACCAGGAATTCCTCTTCCATGGAAATCCCCCTGTTTCTGGTAATAGCTGCAAACATGGCTTGAGCACCAATCTGTTTGCCTAGGACGAAAGCTTCTTTGCAGACTTCTATCTGGCCGCAAACTCCAATCTGCCCGGCGGAAGGTCTGGGCCCGATCTCCACTCAACGAGGTGAGAGAGTCCCAGTGTTGAGGGCGTCAATTTCGTACAGGACGCCGCTGCCATGCCTCGCTTGAGCCGCACCTGCATCCTAAAGCCGGATGCGTTTGCTCCCTGCGCTGCCTGCCCCGTCTCTGAAACGGATCCCTCTCCCGGAAGAAGTTCCCGGTTTGGAAAATTGGGCATCTCCCTTGCGGCGCCCAAGTCACGGATCTCATTCCGGTGGAGAAGAAGGATAAAAAGACTGGTTTGTTCTCTACCAAAATGGGTCATGGTCTACTGATCTCTCGCCTCATTTCTAATGCTCAGATAAAACTCAGAAGCCCTACTGAAGTCAATCACATGAAAACCATCTTTCTCACTGCCTCACCAAAAATGAATGTGGCCATCTCCGCTGAACTAAAAAGGGAGGAAAGGCTGGAGCAAAACAGAGAGAAGGTTGTTGCTAAGCCCAAGGTTGCTCCTAAAAAGGTCACTAAGGAATCTGAAACAGTCTATGATAAACCTAAGAAGGTACAGGCTGCAAAATTGAAGAAGAAGAAACTTCAGAAACAACCAGAGGTCACTCCTGAGAAGGATGCATCAGAAGACGGTGCATCAGAGGACACTGAATCTGATGTGGCTCCCAAAGTCACTCCTGTAAAAAAGGGCCAATCAAAAGAGGAGAAGAAGAGTTGTCATTCAAAGTGACTCTGATAGCTCCAAATCTCCTATCAGAGTGCTGAAGAAGAAGAAGAAAGTCCACTCTCCTCCTAAGGGATCAGAACCTCAGGGGGAACCAGCATCAGAGAAGGCTGATGTTCAGGGGGAATCAGATCAGGAGAAGGAACCAGAACCTCAAGGGGAACCTGGATCAGAGGTTCAACCCCCCTCTGAGCCAGACTTGCATATCACTACCTCTCCACCAGAGCATCTTGCTACTACTACTCAAGTCCCTGAGATGGATCCCCAAACTGCTCTAGACAGACAGTTCCAAAAGGTACTCACCTGGAGGAAGTGGAGAATGGGTCCTCTGCAGCAGATACTTGCTCAAGCTGCATCTTATGAATCTGAGGAAATTGAAGTCCTCAAGTGGGCAGGTACAGATGATATCTCCTTGTGCTTCGACCTTCAAATCCTATAATCTGTACTTGAGAAGAAGAAGGCAAGCTACAAAGGCAAGGAAAAGGTGCTTGCAACCTCATCAGAAGAGCCTGTCAGAGCTCTTGCAGAAGATGAGGTACCCATCTTTGAAGAATGGCTGATGGAGAAGAAACGGAAGGAGTCCCTGATCAGGATGAAACCTATTCCAGGTGCAGAAGGAGAGCCTTCAACTGCCAATGATCTACCTCTGGCGATGGAGAACCTGATCAGAGAATGGAGAGCTTCACAAATTGAAGAAACAATACTTGAGGTAATACCTGAATCTCCTACTCCTCCTATTACTGTACAACCCACTCCATCACCCCCAAAATCCCCTTCACCTAAACCAACCACACCATTATCCACTCCACCAGAAAGCCCTCAACCTCCTCAGAACCCATCAACTCCCTCACCCAAGAAAACCCCCTCACCTAAACAACCTTCATCCACACCTGCTTCACCCTGCAAGCAGATAACCCCTATCAGAAACCGCTCACCATCACCTCCTCCTTCTCCACAACATCAGAACACCCCCGCACCACAGACCTCACCTCATCAGAGCTCCCCCCATCAGAAATCCAAATCTGCCTCTCCATCTCAACAGCAGAAGTCATCATCAAAACCCCTTTCTCCTCAACACTCTATTGCTTCCACCCCAAAGAGAGAACCTGTTGTGAGGATTCTCTCCTCTGAGGATAATGATGGATTTCTTACATCCTCATTAGCTGGTGACCTCCAGTCCAACAAGAGGAAGACTCCTACTCCCCCTCCATCCCCTGCTCAGCAACAGCCTCAAAGAAATGATATACCTCTGCCAGAGCCTCCAAGAGAAGAAATCTGCATTCCTTTCAATGAATTTGTGGAATCTGTAGAAGAATTTGGAGATCAAGTGATTGCTGGGTTGAACAAGATGCTTGTACTCAATCAGAAGCACGATGCACATCTTGATCTTGTTCAATACAATCTTGAGTCAGACATTGCCAAGCTTTCAACCAGCCTCTCCACATTGACAACCTCTCTACTGAGCTTCATGAAGACTTCCAATGAGAAGGTAGATAATATCGCTACAGAGGTTGCAAACATTCACACTGTCCTCTTCTCTCAATCTCAGACTCTCACAGCTCAAGACAAGGCAATTAAAGAGATATCTGATGTTGTGGATGATCTTCAATGGTCACACGACAAGAATGCAGAGCAGTTGACAGATGTGGAGGGTCTCTGTAAGGATACTAAAGAGTTTGCTCTAAAACTGATTAATAGTGGAAAGGACAGAGATCACAAGCTGACTCTCCTTGAAGCTACTACTAAGGATATCCAATCTGCTGTGGATAAGCAAAAGGAGCTGATAGAAGGGCTGGCTTCTGTAACTCAAACTCTCCCTGGAGCTCTTGAAGCAATCAAAGAGAATCAAGCCTCAGAATTCTCAAAGATTGGACTCCTACTTGGTGATCTTGCTGATGCTAAAAAGGGGGAAGATATCAGAGAACCTGCTAGAGCTATCAGAGCTGCAGAAGGATCCAGCTCCAGAGCTCTGACTCTCACTCCTGTCTCTGGCACTCCTGATCCTACAATCT